ACATACTGACAGAGTCAACTTCGGCCAGGTATTGACTAAAGCAGTAAACACCAAAAAATACCTGATCCTGATTTGGAAATAATAAATTTTGATCAAATGCACGATCGTTATCGTTATCGTTATGGTTTAGAAAATTAAATCAGAAATATATTATTTAGATTAACCAGAACACTCGAATCTAACTTTTACAAATCTTAACCATGGAAATTGAGTCATCAGAGTTAGTAAATTGAAACTATCTAGATGCCTTTGTAATTTTATTTTTTAACTGTTTCATTTTCAACAGCATAATTCGACTGATTTTACAGTTTTTGAAAGAAAATAATCTTCCCAATAGTCATGCAGCTTTACAGGTAGACTAATTTTCTTTTTGAAAATAAATTGTATGATCTTTAAATTAATTACTTGATCGTTATTAATTTTTCGTTTAAAATATAGGAAGAATCCACGATCGCTCTCAATACAGTAGACTCTATGGAATCTTTCACAAATGAAATTATACAAGGACATTGGGATGTCGTGTTAAGAACAGTATCTAACCTGAAAATACCACAACGTAAATTGATCGATTTATATGAGCAGGTTTGAGAACTCTTTTTTATAATCAATGAATTCTATAGAGTACAAACATTAATAAGCATAATTTGGTGTTAGATTGTTTTGGAATTAATTGAAATGCGAGAGCTGAGTGCGGCTCGAACTTTATTAAGACAAACAGATCCTATGCAGTTTCTAAGGGATCATTTTTCGGAAAGATATTTACATCTGGAGCATTTGCTTTCCAGGACATGGTTTGATCCAAAGGAGGTAATTTCAATCAAATTTGGTTTATTCACATTCTGATATCGATAATTAATTATCATTTCCGTTAATATAGTCATATCAACCTGGCATGACAAAGGAGAAGAGACGCCAGATCATTGCTCAAGGTTTGGTATAAATTGGATATGTTATCATCATTTATTATTTAAAGGAAAGAAATTTATATTTTATCAACAATATATTAGCACTTTCTAGTGAAGTGACGGTGGTTCCGCCATCTAGACTTCTTACTCTTCTTGGACAAGCCTTGAAATGGCAACAGCATCAAGGGTTGTTGCCGCCAGATACTGCCTTCGACCTTTTTCGTGGGTCCGCTCCAACTACGAAGGCAGAAGATGATGCAGTTCCTACAAAATGTTATACCACAATTAAGGTTAACATGATTGCTTTATATGTAAATTGATTATTTAATATCATACTAAACTGTTAAATAAAATATCTGTAAATAGTTTCCCAAAAAACACCATGCAGAGTCTGTAGCATTTTCACCCGATGGGCAATATTTAGTAACAGGTAGTATGGATGGATTCATTGAAATATGGAATTTTTTAACTGGCAAGCTTCGTAAGGATTTTAAGTATCAAGTGGAGGTTTGTTTAAAAAATAGCTTTATTGGTTTAAAATTGTAAAATCCGATTTTGCTTAAATTATTAATAGTTTTTAGTATATGTACATCTTGCATTATATTTCCACGCATCTTGGTGCAGGATAATCCTATGTTGATGGAGGATCCAGTGCTGTGCCTTAGTTTTAGTAGAGACAGTGAAATGCTGGTCTCTGGTGCACAAGACGGGAGTATAAAGGTGAGAAATGTATATAGGAATAATGTACTATCGTTATCTTTTAAAGCTTGTATTAAATAAATATATATATATGTGAATATATATTGCTTAGGTCTGGAAAGTTCACACAGGTCAATGTACTCGACGCTTTTCCCCGGCACATAGTCAAGGAGTTACATCTGTGTGTTTTAACCGTGATGGTAGTCAGGTTTTAAGCTCAAGTTTTGACCATACAGTCAGGTTTGTTGAATTATATAATTGCATTATCTCATAATATTAAAAATCTTAATACATTTAATCTCGATTAGACTTCATGGTTTGAAATCTGGAAAGACATTAAAAGAGTTTCGTGGTCATTCATCTTTCGTTAACAATGCAATATTTTCATATGACATGTCAAGGGTGATCAGTGCAAGTAGTGATGGTACTGTAAAGGTTAGTTAGAATTTAACATATTTGAGATTTAATGTTATAATTATACTATATTAAAAAGCTAAAATTACGATAGATTTGGGATAGTAAATCAACTAGCTGCCTTCACACGATAACGCCACATGGTGGGCAGGGAGCCTCTGCGACTATTTCAGGTGGAATAACGGTTAACTGTGTTGTTCAGGTGCCAAAGAATATGGATCAACTGATTGTTTGTAATAAAAGTCCCACGATTTACATAGTAACCATGAGAGGACAGGTATGATTCTCACATAAGAAACAACTTTTTTTTTCATTTGAATATTTGTAATCGTAGAATTAAATCATAAAATCTTGCATACTAGATTATTAAATCATTTACTTCTGACAAGAAAACGGGTGGTGATTTTGTGAGTTGTACTGTTTCACCACAAGGTGATTTCATTTATTGTGCTGCAGAAGATTCAAATTTATATTGTTTCAATGTTCAAACTGGGAAGTCAACAACTTTAAAGGTAAGTTTATGTTGTACCAGTAAGAAAAAAGTGGAATGCAATAAGCTTTACACTACTTTTACTTATCCATCATAGTTATCTGATTCGGAAGTCATTGGAATTGCGCATCATCCATTCTCAAACATTTTGGCATCATATTCTGATGATGGCATTATATCTTTATGGAAACCTTAAAATAAAATTTGTTTTTTTTTGGCTTTTTTTAAACTATCGTACATATAAATGTACATTACTCATATTGTCGTTCTTAATTTTTTTAAAAGGAGATATTTTAAGCCATTCCTGGAAAATATTGAGAATGTATATTAACTTGATGTTCATTTATATACAATTTTGAATCCGATTCAGAAGATCGTTACACGGCTTCATTCTCATAAACGCATGCGCATACTGGAGGAACGCACTATGACTTATTTTCTAAACAAATGATTCAAATACTTCATTTCTAGTTAATTTTAATTATCAGTTATAGTGCTGTTAACCACATATCGATAAAGTATGTAGATTACTCTTATATAACTGTATAAATAATAGTCGATCTTGTATCGATATGTCACGTAAATCAATCATTCGATGTTTATAGAATTATCTCAATTAGTTCAAGGGTCCTTTTTAAAAATTTCCGAAATGAAAATCGGTAAATTAATTTACCACTTTTCATCTTATCGGCCCCTGAAGAATCTAATCCTACGTGATTAGCTTTTAACATCATTTTTTTCTCTTAATAAATCCGATTGATGCCGGATAATAGTGTTATTGAAATGATTAGAACAATCACATGTAATCATTGTGGGCGATAAGTCATTCAAATATATTGTACTTCATTATTGTAATAAATATTTATATGTTCTTGCTAGTCTTAAAGGCAATACTTTGTTGACTTGGTTCAGTAAACATGATTGGCTAGGTCATCTCGGTTAAATCCGGTTGGGTACATTGAAAAGAAAAAATAGGTACGTATTCAGATTTATTTTTATATATATTGAAGATTCTCTTTATGTAGTCTATTAATCCGCTTGGCACTGATTCTCCTTTCTCATGTGTAACCACCTGCAAAAATCCGGGCAATACGGCATAATTCTCGGCATTTTTTACGTCGATAGTAAAAAAAAAATGCATGTAATTGGCGATTTCCTTTTTGGAATATCGCCTATTATTATGTGTTATACAATTCAAAATTTGCGTACCAATCAATTGCGTTGCACGAATTTTCTTTTGCATATTTGGTAAGCTTGCAAGGGTGAAACACTACATGTCGTCTTGTTCTCCTCATGCTTCACTTAGTGCTATTAATATTTATCGACAAACAAATCTTTGCCCCTCTTCGTTTCGATGCTATTTTCATGGATTTGAAAGTTGATCAAATCTTCTAAATGTAATTTAAGTTCTATAAAAGAATGAAATAAATAATCGCTTTTCTTGGCCGAAAAGAAAGATTTTAGATGCCAGCTCGATTTTAGGAATAAACCGTTAAAGATTTGAAACACAGTAGACTTAATTTGTCACCTTGATTAATTCGTGTTACACAACCGATCTATCATTCGTGTTCGTACAATTTTAAATTTACAATTTTAAATATACAATATATTTTGTTTTTACTTTGTGTATATTGTTGTTGTATATATAATTGTCTTGTTTGAGCTTTATTGATTCTATCATCCCTTAAATTTTAAGCTCTGTGTATCAAAGCTCTGCCAGCGCACTATCCAACTTATACGCTGTGGTCCCTGTTTTCGTAAAAGCTTTGATAAAGTTGTCTTGCGTTCTTCCTCCTGCAGGTTAATACTTTTTTTGCAACTCAAAAAGTTTGTGTGTTACATTTAATCGATTTTTACTATCCTTAAATAACCAGGATTTCTCATTTAACCCATTAGCTAGGTCTTTCATCTGTTTTACCTGCCCCTTCTTTTCGTCCTTCAACTTGTTGCTGGTCATCAAGTTTAAATTAGACTTTTCATCACGAATTTTTCTTAAGATTTCATTCCTTAAAATTTCAAGATATTAACCATGGGAAGCGTTACATACAGAGCAATTAGTAGACCGGTTCTTGTCTCTTATGCCGTCATAGAATTTTTTTATTTTGCCACTGGAGTTGTTATGATTATACTTGGTGCTTTATGGTTCATGACATTTGGTGAAAATTTACGTAGTATTGTGATAACAAGAAACTTGCTCATAGGTATGTATCAATTTTCTTGTAAATTTATAAATAAATATTTAGGAAGATATGATTAAGTTTTTATGACTCTTTGCAGGTGCCATTTCTGTTGGCTCACTAATTCTGGTTTCATCTCTTGTTGCTATTGTTGGCTTAATTAGTCCTTTGAAATACAAGAATTGGTTGATAGTTCATGTTTTCTTGATTGTTTTATCATCACTGGCTCTTTTGGCTTTGGGTGGTGACATTTGGTTTAGGACCTTAAATGAAAGACAACATTTCGCTAATGAGTGGCTCATGTGGGACGATGGCATGAAAGCAAATTTCGAGGATCAGGTATGCATACACTTAGTTGATATAATTTATTAGTTAACATTAATTATTAATTTACATTTGTTTATAGCTTCAATGCTGTGGATATCAAAATTCAACAGACAACCCCGCTCCTTCGACATTATGCACTCAAGACGTGGACCAACAAGTACAGGGCTGCATAGATCCAATAACCTCAAAAGCTGCCGTACTTTCTCGTCAGTTATTCACCACATTATTTGGCTTCATAACGGTGGATATATTTGCATTCTTTGCTACAGTCATATTGATACAAGCAAGAAATGTAGAAGAACGATACATAAAAATTGATGAAAAACATAGTCATATCAAAGATGAAGCATTAAAGAGACAATATGTTTAAACTGCTATATACAGTATATAAACAAAAAAAAAAAAAACGGATTTAGGATTTTTTTTTTTTATTTATTCATTTTTAAGAACACTTAAATTGTAGTTTTAGAGTTTTGAGTTCGATGTCTTTTTTGTACATATTGGTGTTAGGGTTAAGTGTTAATTCTAAATTTTAAAAAAAATAATCAAAAAAAAAGGAGCCAATTTACAGTAATAATATTGTTAAGTAATAAAGCATCGCTATTTATTACTTTTTGAAACTTTTTCGCAAAATAAAAAAAAAAATTGCAAAATAAATGTTGGATCACTTTTCTTTTAAATTGCAATTCTTGCAGATTTATGTGATTCAAGGTACGAGTTACTACAGTATATGCGTATTGTGAACATCTCCGTTCGATTTTAAACTTTTCATAACATACTGGTCTTTCTTATTCGTTATTGCAGTCTGGTGTTTCCACATTTGGGTTCTTTCGCAGAAAACCAAAACCATATAAAATATATACACTCTAAGCATTGTTTTTGCTGTGAAAGAACCCATTTTGGCATTTCCAAATTTCCCAACTAGGAGTATATCACGTGACAAGTATTATTTCATTAACAAGATTAGGGTTAGCGCTTTATATGAAAATTTAACTGATTGGTTAATTTATTGGGTTTTTCTATGAGTGACGGGATGTGAAAACCTGAAAACCTAAAAATAGATTATTATGAATTTAATAATAATCTATTTTTAGGTTTTCAGGTTTTCACATCCCGTCACTCATATATCTCTGGCTAGAGAAGCATTCGTATCCGATAGATTCTGAAATAATTGGGATTTTTCGGAAATGCACGGATCTGATCATGAGGCAGCTAGCCAATCATAAAGCGGTATTATATTCACATGATACACTTTCTAAGCACAATTTACATATTACACTTCAAAGCAAAATAACTTGCATTGTAAATAAATAAAACTATTTACCCAGGTTAAATATAGCTTATAAACGCAAAAACTTTATTAAAAATGTTTCTTATAACAAGTTGTACAATCGATAAAGTAGTACTACAAGGGCCTAATATTAAAACCATGAACTCTAATATGTTTTCTGTGAAAAGTTTACCTTGGACGAACACCAGATTTACTAAGTAGGGTTTAAACGAATATTGACACATAAGATTCAATAGATGTTTAAATTTTGGTTTCGTGAAAAAACATATTCAAATATCTGTTGAAAATAAGCCTTTCACACCATTTGCGTCAAACATTAAAAGCTTTTGGTACAGTAAAATGTAAACCATTAGCAAGATTTCAATAGTTTATTAAATAAAAAGGGTCTCATAAATTAAGTTTTCTTTTAAAAATAAATTTTCTTTAACATTTTGATAATTTTATTAGATCTTTTTATATTATAGGTAATCTCCAGATAAAATACTTATGAACCCGATTAGCAGCCAGGCTGCATACTACAAATAAGAAATGTAAATACACTATAGTTTGCAATAAAAGTTCTCTGCTGCACAATGTACCTAGGTGTTTTGAGTTTTTTGGTTAGGTATTTTGTTTTAGACCCGAGCTTTTTAATTAGTACTGTATGATATACTTTCTAGTTCGCGATTAAGTCTGCTGCCGTACAACGTACCCAGGTGTTCTACGAGTTTTTTGGTAGGTATTTTTGTTTCAGATCCAGGTCTTTTAATCAGTATTGTACGGTATATGAATTTCTGACTTTTTTGCTTGTGCCTGAATATTTTTATGAAGATACTGTATTAAAGAATTAATTGTACAAATATTGTACAAAAATTTTATTATTATAAATAAAAATAAAATTTCTTTATTAAAATATAAAGAATATATTCATATCCAAGTTCACAAAAATAAGGAATGATAATCCAACCCGACTAAACTATAATTGTAAAATTTTGAGTATCACCCCATGAGATTGCTAATGTGGTGTGTAATTTCGATTTTTGCCTATAATTTTTCATACCGCCACTTATTTGCTGAAAAAGAGAAGAAAGGGTTAAATCGCACAAACTCTAAAATGAATTATTCCTTTCAAGATAAAATTTATCAAATCTATCATCTACTTGTTAGTTGTTGCATCCCAAGTTAGTCTATATTTTAAATAAAAAAATAAAATTTATACTTAAAAATCCAATGCATGTTGAGAATTAAGGCTTTAAGTAAAACCTTCTGTGATTGCAGGAGTAATTGTTTGTAACTTTGGTCTTCACCCAAGATTATTCATATTCCATCTGACCAGGTTGCTAAAAATCTATTGTCTTTAAATATTGATTAGTCTGTCAAGGGAATCGAATTATTCCTTCATATTCTACTGTTCTAAATTGAAATTCTTTGATTATCAATATTTTTATTTTCACTCGTCCACTCTTGAGAAGTTCTCAAAGGATCACATATTCGAACCAGGTTTTTGAAGTGTTATAACGATTACAATTTGAACACTTTCCATGATACTCTTTTCTTTTAGAATTAAATTCTTCGAATACAACCAAGAAATTTATTGGTTGTCATGTTTCAAGTTAGCCCATATACTTACACTTTCCCTCTAATTGATTACTACTTTTAAACTAAAAATATTATAAATTAATATCATTAATTAATCTAATTGTAAATCAACATATAATTAGAGTAGAAATTCATTTACTAGTACTTTTAATGAAATAGTACCATCTAACCAGGTAGTTGGAAACCATCAAAAGGAATCCATTCAACTATTTCTTCACGTTTCATTGCCTTAAGTTGAAATTCTATGGTGCAAGTTCCTCACTAAATTCATAACTGTCAAAAGGCCTTTGTCTAGTTGACATTTCTACTATAATAATACCAAATTCATAAATATCTGCTACTTTTGTAAACTGCTCTTTGCCTGTTAAATTTCAGGAGCAACATAGGGCAGGACTCCAAAAATATCACCCTCTAAAATGCATTCATCATTCTTCCTAGACAATCCTAGATCTGCGATATAAGGTCATACATCTTTATTAGTATATTGGTTTTGTAAAATGTTGCCACTGTGAAAATTGGCATAAATATATTTTGCATAGTAAATACAATTTAACTCATCTGAAATATCTTTAAATATTTGTAATTTAGTTTGCCATAAAAGTTTATAAAAGTTCTCACTTAAATATTTATAAAGACCCCCCTTTATTAGCATATTGAAATACTATCAAGTATTCATTGGCTTCTGTATTTTTAGTAATTTCATATATTGCGAAACTAGTATAGTTTAATTTACACATCATAAGACTTTTAAACTTAAAATTTAAACAATGAATTAGTTCAATAAAACTATTATATATATCACTATATAAAAGCAATAAATTAATTTACCTTTTTTAAAAAATCGAAATTGTTTTTTTTAGAACTTGCCAACGTCTTGAGTGCATATTCGCCTAAAATATTTACTGGTAATTGTGTTATAAGTTAGTCCATATATTTTAAACCCACCACCTCTTGGTTCTTTGAATTACAAAATGATCTTTAACTTACATATAAATAGGCTAATTAAGGTCACATGTCTTAAATAATAATGTTAACTTACCTCCCTTAAAAATCTAACTTCTGAAAGTTGTAAAATTTTAAGTGTCGCTTTATATGCTTATGAACGTGATTTATAAAGTCTCAAGCTTTTTTATAACAGAGTGAAATTGAACAGAATTCAAGTCACTTTTGTCAAAGCGCTTGTGATATTAGAGGTTTTTTATATAAGCTGGTCTTCACAAATATGTGTGGTTTACTATAACGAAAGCTCACTATAATAAAAGCTTACCATAATGAGAGTGACTTGTAAAAAACACTATGCTAACGTGGATTTCACTAACCTGACGATCAAAACGGGTTTTACTAGAATTTAGTACGTTGATCTGTTTTTTTTTTATTGTTAAACGATATGTAAAGAGAAGGTTCAATATCTTATATATGAAATTTTTCATATTTCTAAATCGAATTTTAACTATAGAATTTGCATCATGTTTAATTAGTATATGTAGATCATTTTATTCAGATGACTCACGGATCACCAATTAAACAGAATTTGTAAAATCTTACTGTGATACGTACAAGTAATAAAGTTTTCTTTCAATATGTATAACGATGATTTTTTCACGTAACAAAGATATTTCATTAGAATAACACATAATATATGTATTTTATTAGATAAAATTAACATAGAAGTTTGTGAAATATTGCGCTCTATAATTTATTGAAAATATCTATACTTTTATAGGATTAACTCATCTATGATTTCACAATACTTGCCACTGGCATCTCGGAACTTAGCACTCATTCTAATGTTTTTAAAATCCATATCATGCCAAAAGTGTATGACATTTAATCTTTTTTCCTCATTAGGCCAATATGGATTCGTCACTATGGAATCCTCCCTGGAAAAATGTACAATCCAAACTTCTTCGGGGCAAAGCTGATTAGCATACTTCGAAACTTGATCGAAATGCTTCTTTATTTTAGGAATAGAACCGCTTGCTAGAATCTCTATTACTGCGATAGGATTAGTGACATCAGCGTCCTTTATAGTTAAATCGCAATAAAAATGATGATAGCCACCATCATCACAAATTCCATCCAGATGCCATTGACCTGTTATTTCATATCCATGTACCTTTGCAAGCCAATTTGTTAGAATTCTATACATCTCACCGTCGTATGTACTCTCCCGAGAACCTTCACGTTCTGTTTAGAATCTACTAGCAAATGGTTTGAACTTTTATAAGAACGTGAAGATCCAAGGGCAATTGTTTTTTGGTCAAATGTACGAACGGTAGACTTCACCACCTCAAAAACATCCATTGTCCCATTAGCTTGCAAAGGTACGCCTTCATCCGGACAAAAGCAACTTATATCAGGTACTGTACATCGCTTTTTCGAAGAAGAATCTACTATATTTGCGTCTCTCTGTCTCTTCCCTAATACTGATGGCGGTGGCGATAAATTCCTTTCCTTGTTAGCTTTTTTCCACAAGCTATTCACTTTTTCGACATCAGCCT